ATCGCGACAGTACGATACTACGATGATGAAAACGCGATAAACTATCGCGTTTTCACCATCGTACTGTCGCGTTTTCACCATCGTAGTTTCGTGATTTCGCGTTTTCATCATCGTACTGTCGAGTATCGCGTTTCAGATAAAACCATTCATAGGCGATGGCCCTAACGGCATTCTGGAATGCCGTTAGGGTCATCGCCTATGAATATGTTAATCTGAAACGCGATAGTCGATAGTACGATGGTGAAAACACGACATCACGAAACTACGATGGTGAAAACGCGATAGTGCGATGATGAAAACGCGATAGTACGATGATGAAATCACGACAGTACGATGGTGAAAACGCGATAGTACGATGATGAAAACACGACAGTACGATGATGAAAACGCGATAGTACGATGGTGAAAACGCGATAGTACGATGGTGAAAACGCGATAGTACGATGATGAAAACACGACAGTACGATGATGAAAACGCGAAATCACGAAACTACGATGGTGAAAACGCGACAGTACGATGGTGAAAACACGATAGTTTATCGCGCTTTCATCATCGTAGTATCGTACTGTCGCGTTTTCATCATCGTACTTTCGCGTTTTCATCATCGTGCTTTCGCATTTTCACCATCGTAGTTTCGTGATTTCGCGTTTTCACCATCGTACTATCGACTATCGCGTTTCAGATCAACACATTCATATGCAATGGCCCTAACGGCATTCCGTACATTATTACATAATGAAACCCCACGAGAAACACGAGAATATTCAAATAACACCTGATTGAACGAATGAATTACAAGAGCGTAGCGGATGGTATCTTTGCATGGCTTTGGAATGCTTTCTTAAACATGATAAAGTACATAAATAATATGTTTCTTGTGAGTAATATTAAAAAATACTGCGTTAAAAACTGATATACAGTATGGATAGAAAGACAAAAGAGCATGTAGGTAAGATAGTTACCGCACTCGGAATAGGTCTGCATAGTATTTACAGACCCGGTGGCTTTTTAAAAACCTCGATCGCTACGCTCTCTCTGTCTTCAAATCGCCACCCGGGTCTGTAAATACTATGCAGACCTATTCCTCGTACGGTAACAATTACTTCCCGCCAAAATTAAGTCGCACAGTCCTGTTGCTGTGCGGCGACATCGCAATGCCAAAAGCGAATTCATTCTAGTTCTTCTAACATGATGTTGCATGACAAGGCAGTGTCATTTCACTTTCAACCATTGAGAATTCTATCTTTACAGACATTTTACAAAAATATACTCTCCTATTAAAAATGTATGAATTCGCCTTCAATATGCGATTAATAACCAGAGTATTTCTATTTGAAAGACCCAGTAATTACACAAATACACGGTTTCCGTAAAATGTACACAATTTACAAGTTCGTCAGATTATTAGAATATGTTGTGCAGTTTTTGTAAATGCATGCTTTGCGTCGAAAAACATTATGTACTTAAAAATAAATTGCATTGTGAATAGTATTTTTCCTCTGTTTTTTTATACCAACCATGTAAAAGCGCGTGAATTTTGTGCAAATCGACTTTCGGAGCATGGGTAACTCTACACGTGCCATAAATGGCATTGTGAACTACTGATATAATTGGTGGATAAAGCAGCTCCCTTACGAGCGCTTTCATTTAATGTTAGACAAGCATGGAAGAAGAGATAGAAAATATAAACTTCGAAATATGTAGAAGATATACTTGTTGAAAACAAATTAACAAAGGCGCATTATGTGTCAAAATCCATTTTATTTCAATTCTTAAGAATGTCAAACATGTGTTTAATAATGGTTTAAAAAATGGATTTAGAGCATATTAGGTGTTTAACAACTGAAGAAAGTTGCGCTGGTAGCAAAATGTTAGCAAAGTAGTTTTTTTTTTAAATTCCGTACAAAATACTCATTCACAATGATCACTACTGCTTGCCAACAGAGCAAGAAAAGTAAAAAAAATGTTCATCTGGGTGGCAAATCAAGTTCTTTTCAAAACTGTAACAAGATATCAAAAATAAAACCATTTTGTGAAATAAATATGATAGCATTTCTGAGGCATAATGGGCCTTTAATTGTTTTTACTTAATTAATAATACCGTCTTACTGTAACACGTACCAAACATAGAATCACTGTTTCATGACATGAGTACATGTAGTGGTCTAAAAATACAAATAAGGAAATTACTATTTTCAAGTTGTATTCCATATTTTCACAGCAAGGACATCGGAGTGCAAAATGTTCTACATGGTGTACACTTTACGGGGGTGAGCTTTGAATTACTCATCTGACTTAAGATTTTTTTTCCCTTCAAAACATGTATGTATTCTTCAAAAAAAGATGCTGACATTGTCATATGTACAGTATCAGGCATGATTTCAATAAATATATTGGATTAAGTAATGCCAATTAAATGGTTTAATTTTCATCCTTTGTTTAAATGAATGACATATCGTGAATCACGATTTCAGCATAAATCCGACACTTTTTTTAATCATTGATTTTGCGGGTTTATAAATCGGAATCGATGTTTTTGTTATTATAAGACTTTTTGGAGGCCTCTTTAGACAAATAATATTGCTTTATTTAGGGTTTTAATCGTAATAATTCAGAAATCCTGGTAGACTTAATATGACATCTGCAGTGATTTATACCGAGATTATTATCAGACCGGTTCCGGCGCACTGACAAGTTCCGAACAATCAAGCGAGTTATTCGCGTAACCGACAATAAATATAGAAAGTATAGAAAATATACACTGGTTTTGCAGTTTATTGACATTAACAAATAAATAATTAAATCATCATTCTATTTCGGCTTCCTATAATTTTCGTCTGATTATTAAATCTACATTATGCATTACAATATGTAACGATATACCAATACCAATAAGATTGGCGACATGAAATTTAGAATTTTGTAGATTTAATAAAAAAGTGAATAAAAAAGATAGATAAATATACTTACGTTTTAAATACGAACATGGCATCTAGGGGGTCAATTCAAGCTTCCATACCTACCAGTTAAATATAAAATAATTATCTGTTTATCTATAAAACTTTTGTGTTTGTTAACCAACGAACATTAGGATGAAAGCGTGAATGAGGGTTCGAATACCGGACTGGCAAGCGCGCAAATATATTAGTCCATATGTAGATAAGGTTAAATTAAGCCAATTTCTCTTTTTATAACAAAAACCCTTTAAGGCTAGACCAAATCTTTTGTGGTGTTACGTGTTTGTCCTTTTGTTATGGGTGTATCTGGTTTTGCAAGTTGAGTGATGGATGATTAATTTTGGTATTCAAGCTATTTTTAGATGTTTTGGTTCTGGGATATCTAATATTTCTTGGGCAATAACATCTCTAAAGTCTGATATTTAAAATATATACTATTGCTTGATAGAAATATTGATAGATTTATTCTTATCCATAATTATTGTTTTGAAGATCTCATCTATTTAAAGCCTGGTATGTACAGGCGCGTAGCTGCCTATACGCGAGTACGCAGCTGAATCCACATTATTTTGACCAAAAAAAAATTTTTTAGTAAAAAAAATGTGGTTTGAAATTCAGCCGCGTTCGCCAGATCTGATAATTACCACACTGAATACTTTATAAATCATATAGCCTAAAACGTACACCATACCGTAGTATTTTTTTGAAAAGTTGTCGGCCTTTGCAGCTCTTCAAAGTCACACATGGAAATAGATATTGATATTATCATTAACGAGTTTGCGGCCAGCAAAGGCCGCAAGTTAGACTTGCTGTGAAATGTAGACTAGTTGAAATAAACGAAAGTAAGGCTATTCATCTCCATTTTTATGCTAAAATAAATGGATTTTCGTTGGTCAAGAATGTTCTCCGGAGGCCCCAAAACGCACCAAATTGCACCATTTATTTCAAAATTTTCAGGGGGGCATGCCCCCTGACCCCCCTAGATTATTTTTAATTCACATTCTTTATAGGCTAGCTACGCGCCTGATGTATATACATGTATTTTTTTTGTAAAATTGTTTTTATTGTAATTTGAATTGTTGTGTAATATATTGTATTATGTATTTTGTGAAATGTATTTGTCTTGTGAAATATTAATGCGATGTCTTATTGTTATTTTATTTGTTACATGTTTTTTTTTCTTAATAGAATAAGTATGAGCGTTTATCTTATAAACCCCACCACTCCATATATGTTAAATTCTTGCGACAAGTTTAAAGAATAAAGTTAACAAAACAGAATACACGTGTATTCTTCGATTTTACATGGTCTTTTCGTCGATTTCGCACGTTCATTACGTCCCTTTTGAACGTTCACAACACTGACTTTTTTTAAATATTGAAAAATCGTGACTTTTATATTATGTTTAATGGCGTAAAACTTTCATTTACATTATTAAATTCAATTTCAAGTGATTAATGTAGCCGTACATAAATAGAAATAGTAAGTATTGTCAATTGCAATATAAGGATACAGTTGAAGTAGGTTGGTAGCGACACGCCCACAACGTGCAAAATCTATTTTTAGAAACAGGGAAAATTAGGGAGTATTTTGCATAAGAAGGCAAATGTGATGTGACCCAGGTCGATTGTTGTAATCAAAGGCTGTTTCATGTAAAATCCACCTAAACACTTGTGAGATTTTCCTCTTATATCAAACGCTGAAGATCTTAAAAGAACGTGTTCATTATTTAACACGGACCAAACCATTCATTTTAGGGAAACAGCATCGGTTAATCGTGGTTTCCTCTGGTCGCATGGGTGTGTCAAAACAGTTACCGGCAGAACCAAAAGAATCATGTAAATTTATACTCAAGTAAAAATTGAAAATCATCCATATGTCAGTATTTTAATAAGTAAAATGGCCGTATTTTCAGAAGACAATTTAAAGGTATATAGATACATTTATCCCTCGTCTCCGATTAGGAAGTTATAATGTATTTACAGCTGCAAATATTTACATTGACCTTCAGATGTATATATTAAAGAAAATATGAACAATTAGCAGGAAATTATTTAAGCGTACATTCACAAAATACTTATACATTCAGGAAGAACTGCTGAATTTCGTTTTATCCTGATTAAACAGATGTTCGTTGATATGAAATTTGGTTGAATTTCAAATACAATTTCATTTTAAATCAAGTTTTTAAACAGCCATGGATGAAATGAAATGTGTTTTGGGAATGCTGCTGTTGTGCTTGTTTTTCCACGTTGTGAAAGGTATTCTATATTGTGATTTTTGTTAATTGATATGTTTTATTTACTGTTGTTTTTTTTTTATTTTTTTTTTTCGATTTGTTTTCAATATAGGAAAACGTATAATTAATATTGTTTTATTATTTTTTACTAAACAGTTGTGTTAAAAGGAAAATTAAGGAGTGTTAAGGTGGGATTTTTGTCACATTATCATACTTAAATTTATTTTTCAATTGAACTCCTGCACACCTATAATGTGTTCAGTTCAAATATCAGATCCCCTTTAATGGGCGATATTTTGAAATATATAACCCTTGGACATATTGATATAAGTCTCATAGAGAATATGCCCCGGAATATATTTTTATATCACCTTCCGTATGAAATATTTCGGTATGATGAAATAGATATCAAAATGGCGGCGCCTCGGGGTAATATTCCAGTTCCCTATATGAAAATACCCGCTTTCTCCCAAAAAGAAGAATATCTCGTGTTTTCGTCTATTAAAATATTGTTAATTCGCCTAGAATATATCGTGTCGTCTTCCTGTTTGCGCCCTCAAAAGTTTGAAGGGCGAAGACACGAGGACACGAAATGGCAGAAATCAGCCACCATACAAACAGGCGTGTGTTATTGATAAGTTATTGTTTCCTTAAAGGAAAGTATTGGAAGACCATATATATCTTTCAATACGATAATTTCAAATATGAAATAGAATGTATAGTAATATGATATTTATTCCAAAGATTGTCTTTAAAAAGGCTAGCTGACAATATATTTATACCAAACATTATCCATTTATTTAGTAACACCCGTCCTTAAAATCAAACGGAGTATGTTAAAATTGTGTTGTCCACCCGTCAGCATAGGCCTTTGGACAGTTTCTTGGTAAGAAAACAATAGCCAAACAATAGATTTGTTCCGTAATAATAGAATAATACATGTGTCGTTCCGGTTCTTTTAATTTTAGCACTGTTTTCTTCACAAATTAATACATCTTATTCCAGGACAAGTCGCCCCATCCGAAATGTTGCAGAACAAAACATTTTGTGACCTCACTAACGTGAATATTACTTGCGATAGTAATGAGATGATTGCCGTCGAATCCCTGAACTTCTATTATCATCTAGATTGTAACAATACGTGTTGTCGCTTTCATAATAACCACAGTAGTGTTGGGGCAGACGACAACGATATGCAGGATGTTCGTCGCGAATGTTCAGGAAGGCAAAGCTGCAGCGTAGACAAAGCTGGACCACGTTCTTTTGAAATAGGTGGTAATGAAACACCTTCCTACGCTGTACTGCATTATGCTTGTATTCCAGGTAAGTCAAAGCCGTTTTGGCTGTAGATATATTGTTGTTTTTTTTTGTTGTTGTTTTGTTTGTTTGTTTTTGTTTTTGTTTTTTTTTGTTGTTGTTTTTTTTTGGTTTTGTTTTTTCATTTATAAAATATTATCGATTTCTCATTATATAATATTAATTATTTAGATTTTGGGCATTTATTGAATTTTGGTCAAAAATATTTCATCTATATATGACTGCTTTCTGGCCATCACTCAAGCTTACAAAATATTGTTTCCCAGAGCATGTACATTAGACAAGTGTTTCAAATGTATGAAAATATGATAAATAATAAGTATAAAAATGATCAGTATAAATTGATATCAAATTACAAAAGCATATTAAATTGCAAAAATATAGTAAATTATAAAATGGTATTAAATTACAAAATGATATTAAATTACAAAAATGGACTCAAACTACAGAATGACATCAAATTACAGAAGTGATGTCAAATTAAAACAAATGACACATCAACACTTTATATTCTCTATTTGCAAAGTTGAAAATACCTGTATTGTCTTTTTATAAATGTCTGACATGACTATTAAAACACTCACAATTTATCATCCTTATTTGCTCTTCCCGGTAACAATTTTAAAGTTTTTTTTCATATCAATCAATAAAGCATTTTGACATTTATTTTCATAAGAGGGACAATAGACTAATGTCCTGTTTATAACATAATTTATATATCTCTTTCAAAAACGCGCATACAACTAAAGAAGGGAAACAAATCAGAATGTAAAAGAAACATAAATGGTCTCTCATATACGAAAGACCGGTAGGGCCATTTCAACTTCATGAATTCCCGATTTCATCTTCATGAATTCACAATTTAAACTTCGTGCATTCCCGTTTTCAAAATACGGAACTCATAAATTCGCGATTCAGCTTCATGAATTCACGACTTCAACTTCACGAATTCACGATTTCAACTTCATGAATTTACGATTTCAACTACACAAATTCAACTTCGTGAATTCACGATTTCAACTTCACGAATTCACGATTTAAACTTCATGAATTCACGATTTTCAACTTCATGAATTCACGATTCAGCTTCATGAATTCACGACTTCAACTTCACGAATTCACGATTTCAACTTCATGAATTCACGATTTCAACTTTACGAATTCACGATTTCAACTTCATGAATTCACGATTTAAACTTCACGAATTCAACTTCGTGAATTCCCGATTTCAACTTCACGAATTCACGATTTCAACTTCACAAATTCACGATTTCAATTTCACAAATTCACGATTTCAACTTCATGAAGTTGAAATCGTGAATTCGTGAAGTTGAAATCGTGAATTCATGAAGTTGAAATCGTGAATTCATGAAGAATCGTGAATTCTTGAAGTTGAAATCGAGAATTCATGAAGCTGAAATCAGGAATTCATGAAGTTGAAATGTCCCCACCGGTCTTTCGTACTCATATGCTTAACTGCTTTGTTAAAAATTGTTTAAATTCACCAGGTTTTCTTTACAATATTGAAGCCTTTTTTTAGTAAGTTTGAAAGTTGCCGTCCTTTCGCTGGCAATTAGTTGCACTGCTACAAGTCTTAATTAAGTGAATTTGTCTTGTTGTCTTTTTGGTAGCGATAATTTGCGTCGCAACAAGACAAAACATGGCAAATAAAGGGTCTTTTGCATCGTTTACAGCTTACGACGTATATAGCTTACTTATATACTTTATTTTCCTTTCGCATTATACATTCGTTAAAAATTATACAAAGATATCACTCGCTGCAACTTCTTTCAGTTCGTATTAAGTCAGAGGTTGGAAGTCCAGAAGACTCGCGGTCTCGTTCTCAGATAACGAACTTACAGTAGCTATACAATCGTGGTCGAAATCTCGCGCGAAGGTGTCCGGCGTGTAAAATGCACAGACGTGTCGTGTTAGTGAGTTGTTGTAAGTCTTCAAAATGTAGATCGGCTAAGTCCATGCGTTGAACCACCATTCTCACTTAATACGACATCATATATCTAGAACGAAAAAATGAACTTCTTGTATATAAAAATTGTTCCATCCCAAAAAATAAGTATCTCCGACATCTTAAATATAAATATACCAGTACAGATGTCCTAAGATTTTCCACTATGACAGGTTTCTAATAAGTCAGACAAATAAAATTTCGTATTTCGAGAAACTACTGGTCCTTAAATTGTACATATGGATGGCGAAGTTATTCTGTCTCTGAAATAAATTTTCTATCAATCTAATTTATATGAACACCGGGAAATGAGAATCAATCAACTTGAACGAACGAAAAAATACATCTTTAAAAAACAACTCAGAAATGCATTTTAATACGAATATGCTTAAATCGTCAATTTATTCAAAAGAATAACTAGACAAAAATCCAAATCATATCCATAACAATGGAACGAGTAAGAAAATGTGAAAATTACTCGACCGAATGAAGTACCGACTTACCTATATCAATTGATCAAATGTGAAATATTAACGTCATCTTCATATATGACAATTATAAGACTCGTAAGATTTCAATTGTCCCGTAAGTATGACCCATCTCCAGATTGCTAGGATGACAAGAAAGAATGTAATACTTTGAAATATATATTTACTAAATATAGAAGATTAACTATATAATTTATAAATGGAGCAGATATCCCTTGGCAAGTTGACTTATTATCGAATATTAAAAGATTGAACGATAAAAAGTAAAAAAATGAAGTAAAAGTGTATAAATGGTCTAGAAAGTTCAACAAAATTGCTAGATTGCATAAACCAAGTTAGTGTAAAACGAACAATAGTACGAATAAAACAACAAATTTTCCATAGAAATATCACTTCAGAGAAAATCACTGTTTATAATTCTTCGCTCTGCCCATTACGGAACAAGTCAATCTAATTACTAATTACATCTATAATCTGAACTGCAAAAACAATATACAGTAGTGTGTTTAAACAGATATAAGTATCAAGATAAACGAAAAATATTATATCAAATGCATGAAAATCATGCCATTAAATAAACATCTATAAAAATGTAAAGTTTCAATGTTAAGACAAAAACTAGTTAGTATCTACATCTCTCCATCAAGAAACCTTGTATCTTACAATTAATACACAAAGAACTCCAATATAGTTGCGTTTTCATTGATAAGCGTGGACTCGTAAAATTTCCTATAACTCGAATGAATAGTCCAAAATTAATTTTTACCATTTACGGACAGTTCAGCCAGATACGGGACACGCCTGTTTTCAAAGTTACTGTCATTTTGTGATTGAAGTATAAGGTTAGAATGTATTCGTTAATATGAAAAAGTAATATCCTGAACTCTATAAGTAAACGTCTGAATACAAATTAAAATATCAAAAATATGATTTTTAGAAGCATAAGCAAGTGAAAAAAAACACATTTCAGATGCCGTATGTTTAAAAACATGGATACTTCTTTGGTTTCGTGGAAAGAAATTATCCAACAATTACCAACGTCCCATTCAACAAGTTTGAAATAAAATCCACAACAAAATTTAAGATGAATAAATCACAAGAGAATGTAAAGTGGGTGATGTCCGTCAAATGATAGCCCGTAAATGTGAAAATTCTGTTTGACAAGGAATTATGAGAAATTGTAAAAATAGTTAAAACATGAAAGGACAGAAATAAAGCAAGACAAAACCGCTCGAAGATACGAAGTAATATAACATTGAAAATAATTGAATAATAATTGCAAAGCGCAATGGTATGAATGAGCCTTCGTAAAGGATTTGCTAAAAATACGCCTGTAAAATCCAAATAAACGTGAAATCCTATAACAAATGGTACACAAGAACTCTGACTCATATTAGTGAACTATATACTGAGACTTAAATATTGCTATTGGAAATAACCATAGTATGTACCATGATAATAAAACAGTTGCAATTAAAAGACCGTAATTATTCGACTGAAAGACAAGCAATTCAATTTGATTAGAAAAAATAAATTTTCGTAAATACAAAAACAGTTTATATGTCAAAATCTGCAATAGAAATAACGAAAATAAAGCGTAGTAAACTGTTTAACCAGACTTTTGTACGAAGATACGTGCAATGAAACATACTTCCATTTAAGTTAAGACATCTTTTCGTACCCCTTTCCTTGCAAAAAGCGATCGTCACTACATAAATCAAACCAATAAGGCTAGTAAACTTGGCGCTCAATCAATGCTTTTGAATGCAGTACCAATTGTTAAAACATTAACAAGAATGTTCGGAGGCTTATATAGTCTCACAAATTCAATAGAAGACATTGAAGACAGGAATGTCGATACTTAAAGTGAGAATGAGTGTGAAATAACTGCTTGCAGTCATAAAGACGAATATAGTTAAGCAAGTTTCTAAGGAAAGTCGTGGTCGAATTAGCCGCTTAGTCATGGAGTTGTAGTCGTGTATAATTACAACCGTACTCGTAGTAATGGAAATCGTAGTATGTGGTTTTGTCGCTGTTCTCTGGAAGTAATAAGATGGAAAGTCATTTGGGAATCGAAATCGGGTCGTCATTTCGTGTCATAGTCTAAACTTATGCGTAATAATCGTAGAACCAAGAAAGACCTTGGCCATGCCAGTCCATTAACGTTTCGCGGCGTCGATTTGTCGTCCGGGTTGTACCTAGGCAAAAAAAAGGGTATCGAAAAATGAAAATTAAAAAAAACAAGCCCGATCACATTTAAACCTTCAAATTCAGCGCGAAACAGAATAATGAGACAAAAAATATATTTGCCATTTAATTCAATATGTCTGTCGTGTAAAGTTAAATGTGCGCAATATTCCTCATTTATTGTAAGATCGTAAAATTAACTCTTAACAAATTGTTTGTGTAAAGGAACAGGAAACCACGGCAATCTGCAAGCAGAAAAGAACTGAAGTCTACGTTTTTGTTTATTTTAACGAACCGAATTCCCACGTAAT